GTGCTACTCAAATCCTTTGGCAGGCCGTCGTTGGAGCGGTGTCTGCTGCGGCCGCAAAGGAGATCAAGGTGTCACCAGAGACTGCTGCTTTCGTTGGCCACGTACTCTCTCTTCTTCTCAAGGTGTGGACGAACGGAGTTCCGTCGACGAGTCATACCTCCAACATCAACAGCAGCGTAACCTCCACTAGCCAAACAAACGACTCGGACATCACCTTTGCGACGACCCGGTATTTGGCGGCCGCTCGCGAGTTTCTCCTTACCACAGTGGACTCTCTCGGCTGCCTGCCCTTCACCGAGAAGCAACTGTCCCGGGACGAGAGAAATGCCTTTGTGCCCGTCGCAACGCCCTCCCAGCGCGCCGGCAAAGGTCACTCCGTATCTCGTACGCCGCTTCGTCACCTCTTCTCTATTCTTTCGTCATTGCCTCCTGGGGTCCAGGACGACGAAGACTTTTCCGATTTCGTGGAATCCATTTTTGCTCCTTTCTTCTCCGCCAAGTCGGCCAAAGGCCGCCGCACCCTGGCGTACGAAATGCTACAGATGACACCCATGGATGCTCTGTGCCCGTACGGTCCGTGGCAGGTCGTCGCATCGCAGATCACGTCAAGCATGGCCCAGACAAGTAGCACTGGAGGCAGTGTCAGCAACGGAAGTGGCAGTGGCAGCAACGGCATCAAGGGAAGCCATGGGGACTCCATCGACAACTACTACCAGATGTCACTGTCGCCCAGCTCTGGCAGCGCCAGCGTCACCCCTGCAGGCCACGAGTACCGCGAGGTTGTCCGAGTGCTCGAGCGTGGCCTTCGCTCGACGCCCAATCTGCCGTGGACCCGCTGGCAGGCTCTCTTCTGCACCATTTGTGATAGAGTCCGCGACGATGCCGGCGAAGCTGGACTGGCCATGTGCGTTTTGGACCCGCTGGCCAAGACAATGACGGAGCTCCTGTCTCAGACTACAGCGGCCGCAGCCTCTCCAACAGTCTCTCGTGCGATTGTTGAGCTACTGTCCCTAGCCACCCATCCGAGAGACCGCCAAGCTGTGGATGCTGCGAAGCGCCGCCTTTGGGGCTCCGCCATCGCTTCATCTGGTCCTATGGCCCCCTTTGATCCGTTTGACCACTTTTACAAACTAGTGAGCAACTCGCTGCGGCAGGCTTACGTAACTTACGACGCCGGAAATCACGACTCGGCGGTGTTTGGAACAGCACTTCTGAAGGAGCTCACGGGCTTCTTTGGTCGATCGAACGAGCAGCTCTTTTTGAAGGCCTTGGCCTCCGTCCAGGATGGCCTCGCGGAATGGGTGCAAGACTTGGAAGGCAAGCTCAACCGTGGTTCGAGCGCTGCTGATGCGGTAAGTCGACCTTAAATTTTAAGCTTAAACAAATGTGCTGGTAATTGTTATGATCCAGGATTCCGGGCACAAGCTAATTATCTCCTCCTTCAGGTTACTTCGCTTTGGGATGCTTTGTGCGCCATGTTGGAGCGTGCCGGCGGCAAGTCATCCGGCCTTCCCATAGCAACCTTGGAGCCAATCCTCCACGCTTCCTTTGCCGGAAAGCACCGCCATATCGTCAACGCGACTCTGGTCATGTGGAACAAAATCTACAGTGGCTACGAGGGCGTGCTGGACTACCCGGAGAAACTCAGAGAAGCTCTCGTGACTCTGCAGGTCTATGTTGACATTCCTATTCCCGGATTGGACATTACCCTTACGTCGTCCGGTGGAGCCCAGCAGCCTTTGTTTGTGGACACCGAGGATGATGTCTTTCATCCCGAGGCCGTGATAACGCTTTCCTCTGCCGGCAGCCATATGAACGAGGCCTCCACACCGCGCCCGGCTTTGAGCAAGTCACACTCCACACCGACGCATACGCCTCTATCTGCTGCAACCCCATCGTCTGTCCACAGAGGTTCTAATGGCAAGTCGAAAAAGTCAGCCAAGAAGGACAAGATGCACCGGCGGGAGAAGTCAGAGTCCACACCTGCACGGCCTCGTCACGATGACTCGCAGATCGAGTTCACAGCCATCGATTTCCCGAGCGCCGTGACGAGTAGTGCTGCGGAATCAACTGCTAAGGATATCGATGCTGCTGAAGAATCACAGATTCTCACCGACAGACAGCGTGAGGTCCGTGATCGCCAGCGCGAGACGAACGCACTCTACTCGGATGTGATGAGCTCAAGCCCGACCGGCGAGGCTGCGGCCAGAAAGCTGTCGACAGCGACGCGGACCGTTCCCGCCCGGGAGTCGAGTGTTTCTCTTCCTCAGCAGGTTATTGAACCTGCCCTTGTCCAAGCTAGTCTTTGCCAGGAAATTGAGCAGGAGAAGCGGACGTCATCCCTTGCGCGCGAGGACGTTGCACTACCTGACCAGGTTCGCACCGCGACGCCAGAGCCCCCAACAGCCGCAGCCGGTCCGGGTGTCAAGGCGGCAGGTGCCTTTGCGGAGGACGAGTTTATCGCCTCGACTCCGACTCCACGCCGTGGCCAAGCCCTTGTCTTCCCTGAAACCCACGACAACGAGATCGACTCCCCTTCGTCGCCACCCGAGCCGCGCCGTTACCCCTTACTGCCCGACATCTCCTCACGGTCTCGTAGCAGCAGTATCCTGGACGAGTGGCAGTTCTCGTCTTCCCCTCTGTCTGGATCGCCCATTGCTGCCCGCCACACGCTACCTGAGCCGGAGCTTAGTATCGACGGTGTTATCGAGACCAGCCTGAGGGAGCGGGTACAGGCGACTGGGGGACACAGCGGTGGTGTTGCGCACGACGTGCCGTCAACAACGGAACAGGCTGTCACTCACGAACAGCCTACTTCAAAGCCCACGAACGACGGCGATGTCGACATGGAAGATGCCGTCATACCTGCTTCAGCAGCTGTCGACCCCGCCTTGACGTCTTCGCGCGACCGCATTACCGTGCAAATCTCGCCCCTTGTACATAAGAAGAGCCGGCCGCCCGCATCGCCTGCTACTCCCAGGCAAACGCGTCGCCAGAGTGCCCTTTCTCAGGAGATGTCACAGGAGAACCACGCAGACGACGAGAGCTCGATTGGCGACATCAGCTTCTCGGGCTCCGCGTCGACATCAGTACCGCAGAGCTTACCACGTGCTCACCGCAAGGACCGGAAGGCGTCTGCGTCCACGGCTGTTGCACAGTCGAGCCCGATCCGGGCGTCGGGCAGCAGTGGCCGACGCTATAGACTGATGGCCATGCCGCCCCCGTCAATGCATAATGTGTCATTCCGGATGAGCGACGGCGAGGAGCGCAGCATGCTGCGGCTGGCGATTGAGCTGGATATGGTTAACAAGCAATCCCAGTCAGAGTTGCCGTCCTCCCCTGTCCCTAGCGCACCGCCCAGCACGCGCAGCAGCAGCAAGGTGCGCAGCAGCAGCAAGGTGCGCAACAATGCTTCGGCAGACGGTCTGGAAGCTCTCGACTGTATCACAGTCTGGACGAGCCATGAAAAGACCGACATGAACGACGAGAACGAAAAGAACGACAAGAAGACCAAGAAGGCCAAGAACGAGCAGGCTGATACCACTGCTGGCTCACCCGAGAGCTCGCAACAGACGCCATCGCAGCGTTCGCGGCGCAGAAAGCGAAAGCGGTCTGCTTCAGCACAGGCTGAAGACGTGGCCGTCGCCACCGCGTCGCCCAGCCCCGGTGTGACCAGTCGCCGTGCCGAACGCAAACTTGCGCGGGCCAGACGCCACACTAGCGAAGCCAGGTCAGAGCGGAGCCAGAAAACGGCTAGCCCGGCTCCGGCGGCCGCAGTTCAAGCTGAAGAAGGGGCTGCCACAACGGCCGAGGTCGGTCTCTCCTCGCGCAGCAAGAGAGTCGTGGCCGACGAGACCGCTGGCAACGGGTCCGATGGCGACCACGACGTACAGTCGCAGCTGGCTCTTGAGCTGCGGGAGCTCAGCGGCCGCAACACTCCCAACAATGTGGTGGACCTGACTGCTGTGGCCGACACGTCGGCAATGACGGAAGCGGTGGACATCACGGACGACATCGAGCCGGATTCCGTTGTGGAGGTCGACGTGCCTGCTGCAAGCGACGAGGACCGGCCGACCAAGAAGCCTCGGCTGGCGGGCATTCTGTCCTTGCTTCGGGGCAGCTTGACGCTCCTCAATTCGGCGACGCTGTCGCGCGAGGAGGTGGGCCAGGTGGAGGACGTGTGTATGGATGTGAAGCGGGCCCTATACGATGCCGAACGCCGTGGCCGAGATTGAATTGTTGGAGAGAAGGGACAGGATGGACTGTTGTGTTTTGGTGACGATGCAGAATTTGGGACGTCTTCTATTAAGGGACGTGATGAGGTCGGGGGCATTTTGACCAGCTTTTATTATGGCGTTTTGGTTTCAGGGCAGCAGGCATCTAGCATTTTGGGGTTCAGTGTTTATTTTTGACATCCTGCATCATATATACACCCTTGCCACAGCATGAGAAATAAAAGTGCTTTACATAAAACCGTTGGTCCATATACAAGATGTGAAGGACGATGTAAGAGCCATTTTGAAAATGTTGCGATGTCGTTCGTAGCTATTTGTAATCTGTCAGTGACAAGGTGCTATTTGCACTCTACGAGGCACCGCGTCTCTCCCCTCAGATAGCTGTTCAAATAGGGCCTATCCAAGATCAGTGTCCTCCCCAATTGAGCTACCCCAGCTCTAGAAGCTGAAATTGCGGGGAAGGGGGGACCTTGCCTCGGCAATCGGATGCTTTGGGGCAAGTGTGTTGTAGGGGCGGAGTAGTGGCTTCGGGGGAAGGTGTGTTCAATGGTAGCGGTGGCCGTAGCTTCTTGGCTTCAGAGGGAATCCAACGCCGAGTGCCGGATGTCGCATTTCCAACACCAATCTTTGGGCATTCGCATTTATACTCGTGTTGTTTCGGTTCTCGAGGGCTTCGATGGGGTTTCTGTACTTTCCCCTCGCATATCCGTATCCCAGTCTATTCTCATCTCTCCCGTCCTCCTCCTCTGCCTCCTTATCGTTACAATGAAGGGCATCAAGATTACACAATACGTAAAGGTCAGTCTTTTGTCTTGTTGTCCGTCTGCATGTCTCGCACCCCTGTCTTATGCCGTCTTGTCGCCTAACACCCTCTAGGGCCCCGACGAGCTCGTCGTCGAGTCGCTTCCCGATGCCCAGGCCGCGCCGGACCAGTACGTCATCGCCGTCCACGCGGCCGCCGCCAACTTTTTCGACATTCTCCAGATCCAGGGGAAGTACCAGAATCAGCCTCGTAGGTGACAGTCTCTCCCAAAAAAGAAAGACGCAAAGGCACAAGGCTCCCCGCTAACCATCAGCCTTCCCGTGGATCGCCGGTGCCGAATTTGCCGGGGTTGTGCTGGCGACACCCAGCGCCAGTTCCGTTCTAAAACCGCGCTTTGCAGTTGGTGACCGCGTCTTTGGTGCCAGCCAGGGCGCCTATGCCACCAAGGTTGTTGCCACGGAGGGCCAGCTGCAGCCCGTCCCCGCCGGCTGGTCCTTTACGGAAGCCGCCGGCCTGTTTGTCACGGCGCCCACGAGCTATGCGGCACTTGTGCTACGCGCTGGTGTCAAGCAGGGTGACTATGTGTTGGTCCACGCTGCCGCCGGCGGTGTCGGACTGGCAGCCGTGCAGAGTAGGTCCTTTTTTCCTAGATCCCTTACCCTCCCGACAGTAAAGAATGTCTCCTCTGACCCCCCGTGTCACTCCAGTCGCCAAGGCGTTCGGCGCCAAGGTCATTGCCACCGCTGGCACGGAGCACAAACTTGCGGTCGCCCGCGCGTTCGGCGCCGACCACGCCATCAACTACAAGACCGACACCAACTGGCCCGAGACGGTCAAGAAGCTGACGGGCGGCCGCGGCGTCGACATTGTCTACGATCCTGTAGGCATGGCCGACCTCAGCACGAAGTGCACGGCGTGGAACGGGCGCATCCTGATTGTGGGCTTTGCGGCCGGCAAGATTGAAAAGCTGGCCATGAACAAGGTCTTGCTGAAGAACATTAGCATTGTGGGCATCCACTGGGGTGCCTACAGCCTAAAAGAGAGCGAGGCGATCCCGGCCGTGTGGGAGGGCCTGCGGCGGCTGATTGACCGGGGCGCGTTCCGGCCGACAGTGTTTACCGACGGCGAGCCGTTTTCGGGCCTGGACCGTGTGCCGGCGACGCTCAAGGCGCTCGGCGGCCGTGAGACCTGGGGCAAGGTTGTTGTCGCCGTACCGCAGGAGGTTGAGAGCAAACTGTAGGGGACTGTCAGTGGATATACCGTATATATAGAGATGTATGTATAATTGGCCTGAAGTGTCGTTTCAATGTAGTGTATATTATCTTTCCTGTAAATATTCATTGCTTCGTTATACTATCCTGCACCACATACAACCGTTAATATTGGTCATTAGACCGCGGCGTTGTCAGGGCCTGGAACCCAGCCAGCACGTCTCGGTCTACATTCACTAGCCAGTTGTCGTTGAAAGCCGCCTCGCCGCCCACTCGCTCAATCACGTTCATCAACCGCGCCATGATGAACTGGTGTGTAGTCTGTGTGTGCAACGGATCCTTGGCCACAAACGCCGCCTCGGCCGTCATCAGCGGCGTGTCGAACTCGGTCGGCGGTGGCGCGCCTTCGGGCCACACGTACGTATCGGGTTTCGTCGCGTCGCCCTGTGCATCCATCACGGTGCTTGTCCACATCGCCAGGTAGTCCTGGAGGCGGCCGAGGACCAGATCCAAAAACTGAATACCGCTGCCGACACCCAACGGTCTCTGCTCCTCCAGCAGCCGTGTCAGCCCCAAGCACGCCACCTTTTGGCTCTCCGGATTTCCCATGTTGTCAAGGCTGCCGAACCACTCCGCTATGAGCCACGGCCAGATCGCCTCGATATTGGCGCCGCTCGTCGCTTCAGTCAGTTGCGGCACGCCGCCGGATGGCAGTGGGAGGGAGCCGAGAAGGTTGAGAATCGCGTTCGGGTCGCCAAGCGCGATACGGCTCAGGATCAGTACGTACTCGACCTGCGTCGTCGGCTTGATCGGGCTGGTCTTGGCATTGGGACCTGTCGACTGGTGCGCCTCCCATGCGGCCCGCAGCCGCTCGCAAATGCGTGGTAGCATGTTTACCCGCACGAGGTCGTTCACAATGGACGCCACGCCTGCCTCACCGCCCAACATCTCGCCAGAGCGAATCACATTTTGAATGCTTGTCGAAGCCGCGTGCACAATCTCCCACTTTTTGGCGTCCATGGCGCCCGTCAGGGCTTCCAGTGTCGGCACGCGGAACCGGTCCGTCAGTACCGCGTCGGGCGCCAAGATAATGTAGGCGTTTACAATTTCTAGGCACGTCTGCACGAGCTGCGAGTCGTAGTCGAGCACTTGTAGCGCAAGGGGTAGCAAGTCAACCAGCTCGACCGCCAGCGGTGCTGCCGACTGGCTCATGATGCTGCGCCACAGGTCCACGGCCTCCTCAAACAAGAACTGGTGCACGGTTGAGGTCGGGTTCATGGCGTCTGCAATCAACGGCAAGATAAGCGCGTGATACGTCTGGGACGCCGCGCCGAGTGCCATGATGAGCGTCGCCAGGATCGACAAAACGGCCTGCTTGATCATGAACGTGTCCTCGGGTGCGGATGCCCAGATGCCCGGCAGCGCCGCCACCACGCCGTCGCTGAACTGGCCCGCAATCGTTTCCATACGCTCGATAAAGGTGCGCATCGTCGCGAGCACTGCCAACTTTGTTTCGTCGCTCTCGACCTCCTGCAGCAGGTCGATAAGGGCCGAGAACACGCCGGCTGCGTGCGGCTCGAACAACACTGCACGGAACTGGAAATCGTCGACCGTCGACTTGAGGTGGCGGGCTGCCGTCAGCCGAACCACTTCGTCGTTGGCCGGATCCTTTTTGTTCAGTAGATGGGCGTACGCCGAGTACACCACCTTGAGCGACTCCTCCGGCAGCTCGTAAAAGGCCCACGAACCCAACAGGATGGCGACGCGCCGGCGCAATATCTTGGCCAGGGGCCCATGTACCTGGGCGTCGCGAACAAGAGTCGTGTTCAAGAAGTTGTCGAAATCAAATGCCTTACCCATCGCCACGGCAGCATTGCACATGGCCGTATACACGGCCTCCTTTGTCAGCAGATCTGTCTCGTTGTGCATCGCCTGCTGGAAGTACGCCAGTAGTGGCGGCACCAGAAGCTGCTTGTTGTGAATGAGAAGGCTGAGGAAGACTCGCTCAGCACACGGCCGGACCTGCCACTCCCACGCGGCGCCGGATTCGCTCTCCTGCGCTTCCCAGTCCTCTGGGTCTTCCTCCCATGCCTCGAGGTCGGATTTGCGGAAGACGAACAACTTCGTGACGATGGTGTCGACCACCTGTAGCAAGAACTCGTCGGTAAACAGCTCGCTCTTAATGCGCTGAACGCCGTCGTTTTGGTCCTGCTGCGCCTCGGCGCTGCGGTACTTGAACGTCTTCAGTGGCTGAGTGACGATCTGGATACAGCTCTTGAGCAGTAGTAAGCCCCGCAAAGCAAGCCTCTCAGACAGCGGGCCCTCAAGCTTGGATGACTTTCCCTCTCCACCGCCGCCTCCACCGCCATTACCAGACGAGCCGTTTTGCCGTATGCCGCCCGAGTTCGTATACACGTCAGCAAAGTTGGCCACAATGCCCCAGTATGCGCGTGCTAAGGCCACCGAGTTGGGTAGGGCCGCAAAGCTCGCAGGGTGTGCTTCGCTCATATCAATGTGCAATCTCGTGAACTTGAGCAGGTGCTTGCCGACAATATCGTCGTCACTGCTGCCGTCCTGGCTGTGGTTGTTGTTGACATAGCGTAGGAACTGGTCAAACTGCGTTTGTGTCAAGGACCAGAACTCCTCCACAAGCTTAGATTTGTGTGGGTGCTCGAAGCCACTGATCACCAGATGCCGCAGCACTTTCAGGGCCGTCAAGCTGTTGATCATCGCATAGTCGACGTTTGTCCGGTTCGCACCGTTACCATTTCCGTGCTGCCCATTCTGTGCCGTAAGATAGCCCATCCATATCGTCGTGTTGGCCGTGTAGATGTCGCCCAAAAGGTAAAACAGCTCCTCCGCAATGTGCTGCAGCGCCGTCTGTGACCGCCGAAGCCGGGCACTGCCCAGCTCCTTGATCACCCGCAGCAACACCAGCAGTCCACCACCCAGCTGGGCCGGATCGGTGTCCTTGACGCTCCGCAGCAGCGCCACCAGGTCAGGCAGCGCCGCCGGCCAGTCCTGTGGGTAGTCGATGCGGACAACCTTGGCCGTTGCCAGTGCATTGTGCAGTGCCAGTGTGCGGTTCTCCTCGCCCACCGTGCCCTGCAACAACCGCGAGCGGATCAGTGCCTTCTCATCGGGGTGCAGCCCGCCCTTTAGTCGTGCCGAGCTGCGCCAGTATTTGTCGACGCCGTTCTTCAGCAAGATCACGGCGAGAAAGCGGACTTCGTAGGGCAGCGTGCGGTCGAGGAAGACGAGCTGCAGAGACGAGAAGTAGTTTGGGTGTGTCTGCCACTCATCAAGCTGCTGAGACGCCGCCTGGCGCTGGCTGTGGTCGCTTGAGTTGCCGGCCTGAAGCGTTTTGCAGAGGTCGGGCAGGTTGAAGGGGACGGCCGCGCCCGGCACCTCGATGGCGAAGCTCATGCTGAGGCGAGGAGTGGGGGAGAGTGGTTCGCATGTGCGTATTCGAGCAGTCGTGTAGGGTAGAATCGACCACGGTGGGGCGCGGAGGGCCTGCGTGCGAGACAAAGCGTCTTGGTTGGGCCTTTTGTTCGTGGTGAGTTTGTTGATTGTTGTTTTGGCTCGACGGAGGCTCGATTGCAGTGACAACCAGATGCAGCAGGCACGGCAGAAAAAAATTGGCGGTGTCGACTGGGTCGCAACTGCCCCTGCGTGCCTGGCGAACACGCCACCAACAGCCAGCTCGGCCGAGGTGGGGTAGCTCAGGACGGACTTATCGCGATCCGACAACGGGGAAGGTGCGACCAGCGTGTACTTCGTTTCGGCAATGTCCGACTGACGGTATCTCAATCATTCACAAGAGATGCGCCTATTTATCTACAATGCGTCCCACCCGGCTGTGTCGACTTTGGCAGCCTTTCCGAAGTGAACTGAACACAAAAGACACGGGTAGAATCGATCACTGAAAGGACGAAGGCTGGGAGATAGAACGACAAAGCAATTCGTGCACAACAGTCGACCCGACCCAGTTCACAATGGCCGCTCACGATCCTCACGCGACGGACGCCCTGCTCGTCTGCACGGCCTGTGGCACGCAGTTCCCGACCGCCGACCGTGACAAGCTGCCGTCGTGCATCATTTGCGACGATCCGCGCCAGTTCACGCTGCCTACGGGGCAGGCGTTCATCACCATGGCTGACGTCCGTCGCGACTATCGCAATGTGTTCCACCCAGCGACCAGCGGCGACGAGCGGCTGACAAGCATCGTCACTGAGCCCAAACTGGCCATTGGTCAGCGCGCCGTGCTTGTGCGCACGCCCGCCGGGAACATCCTATGGGACTGCCTGACGCTCATCGACCAAGTCACGATCGCGCACATACGCAGCCTTGGCGGGCTGCTTGCCATTGTCATCTCGCACCCGCACTACTACTCGTCGCACACGGAGTGGGCCGCGGCGTTTGACTGCCCCGTGTACCTGCGTGCCGAGGACCGGGAGTGGGTCGTACAACAGTCACCGCACCAAGTCTTTTGGGAGGGCGACGATGTGCAACGGGTGCCGGTAGGAGACACGGACGAAGATGGGACTGACACTGCTGCCCTGGCCATCCGCTTGGGCGGCCATTTCCCCGGAAGCCAGGTGTTGTTGTTCGACGGGCACTTGCTCGTGGCCGACACGCTCGTGACGACTCCTGCCGGACGCGGCAGCTGGACTACGGACGCGTTGGGAGCGCCGCGCTCGCGACCGGCCGGCATGAACTCGTTTGCGTTCATGTGGAGCATTCCCAACATGATCCCACTGTCGGGCGACGAGGTCTTTGCCATGTGGGCGATCCTCAAACACCATGACTTTACGAGCACGCACGGCGCTTTTGTGGGCATGGACATTGTGGCAGCCGACATCAAGCAGCGCGTGCTCGACAGCATGAAGATTCAGACGAAGTTTGCCGGCTGGGCCCGCCAAGACGCCTGGGCGAGTGTGTAGCGGCGTGAACAGGTATGTATGTCTGTATGTTTGTGGACAAGAGCAGGAGCGTGGCTGTAGATTGTTGTCGCCCCTTTTTGTACGTGTCCTCTGTTGATGGACTTGGGAAGATGTCTTTTGTCACGTATATTGCCGTATCTTTCACTTCCTATATTGTCGAAAACATCCCACGACGTGAAAAAGTAAATCTGGCCAACCAGTGGGAACGTTAGAACCCACGGATAGCCCTTTGTTCCTGTCGACCTCAGCTATGCTTGTCGGAGAACTTCAAGCTTTCCACCAACAAAACAAAAGTGCAATTCAGGGCAGTTCCGCCAAGACGGCTGTTGAGGGCCCTGTAAATTACAACTTGCAGCGCAGAATGCTCTAATTTTGTAATCGGCCTAGACCGGTCGAAAACGCCTCTGAACACAAAACAAAGCAAGAGCCATGTGGGGACAAGTCTTGCTCAAGCACAGCCGCGACGCGTCGGTTTGGCACGGTCTGGACTCTCTTCGTATTTTTAGTTCAATCTGTCACTTTAGCCTTCTGCGCGAAGGTCGATGGAGATGAGAGAAAGTGCATTTCTCGTACTCGTAAATCACTATCAAAGTCTCCGTTACAAGGGGAAGGAACTGATGGGTGGGGACTTCCTGGTGAATCACCCACAGCTTCCGTGTTGTGCCCCTGCAGGGCCCGGTCGTTCCTTCTCTTCCCTTCTTTTTGGGCGATCAGCACGTAACTCGGTTTGAATTCGCCCCGCCCCAGAAGCAGGAGCGATCAGTGACACCTGCTCGCTATCCTTTTTTGGTGGCTCTGCTCAGCTCTACGGCTTCCTTTGGAGCTTCCATCTGACATCGCGGCTCTTCAACCACAACCTCCATCCTCCATCTTCTACCACAAGCTCTCCCGGCCTCTTCAACAAAGTCCAATTGTGCCCATTTACTGCCCTGTTCGCTGCCCACACGCCCACGGGATCCGAAAAGCACAACAAGCTTGCGCAACGCACGCCGAATGCCTCATGCTCTCACGTGTCAGCAGCTTCAACGACTGACAACATTGGCAGTCCGCACTGCATCGTGACATCGCCGCCGCCAGACGTCCTCCCTCGCCATGCGAGCACCGCCGCCATCATGACCATTCCAACCGGCCCGTCCAAACTCGGCATGCACCTAGTCGCCATCCCAGCCGCCGTCTCCCTCATCATCTTCCTGGGCTACAGCTCACAATGGCTCTTCCACACGGCCTCGTCCCTCGAACCGGGGCCACTCTCCACCACCGAATCCGTCGTTTTCAACACCCTCCTCGGCTGCCTTTGGCTGTCCTACTTCCGAGCGTGCATAACCAACCCCGGCCGCTACGTCTTTGATAACCCCGGCGCATCCGACGAAGAGTCCAAAACAGCGCCAAAATCAACAACTGCACCCACTCAGTCCTCCGAGGCTGCTAACGCGCCCGAGCGCCCGGGTTCTTCCTCATCTTCGGGCTCCTCCTCTCACTCGCCAACGGCCGGCGTACGCTGGTGCCGTAAATGCGATGCCCCAAAGCCGGCCCGTTCGCATCACTGCCGCCACTGCCGGCGGTGTATCCCCAAGATGGACCACCACTGCCCCTGGACCGGCAACTGCGTGTCCATGCAGACCTTCCCACACTTTTTGCGCTTCGTCGTCTTCACCAACCTCTCGCTGTGGATGGCCGCCTACCTGATCGGCCGCCGCTTCTACTTTCTGTATGCCCAGCGCCACCTGCCGGCCTACCTAGGCCCGACCCTTTCGCAGCTGATCCACCTAACCATTCTCGGTCTCGTCTGCGCCGGCACCACCCTTGCCTTGTCCATCATGCTGTACACTACCCTGCATTCATGGATGTTCAACGCCACCATGATTGAGGGCTGGGAGATTGAGCGTCACGAGGCTGTTGTGGACCGCTACAGCTCCACCAATGCGGACGGCAGCTGGTGGGACGACGATGATGAGGAGGACGGCGATGAGGATGAGGATGAGCACGATGCATACGTCGGCAATGACAACAAGACTGAGGACGGCAACGGTGATGATGAAGATCGCACTGCCAGGCGCGAACGAAATGCCCGCAAGGCCGCCGCCCTTCGTATGCGCGTCGAGTTCCCCTACGATCTCGGCATCTTTAACAACATGGCGCAGGCCATGGGCACACGCAATTTCCTATTATGGTTTGTCCCCTTTGCCAGTGGTCCCAAGATCGCCACTGGCCGCGGCGCCGCCGGTGCCGGCTGGGATTGGCCAGAAAACGGCTTTAATGAACGCACGGGGATGTGGCCGCCGCCCGACCCGGAGAAGCTGCGTCATGCGGCCGCGCAGGGCAACTGGGCCGCCACCGGCACTGGCGGTCCCAATTATGGGGCGTCCATGTCTACGGCCTTTGCTTCTGGCCGTGACGACGGCATCCGGCAGTGGGGCACGCCTGAAGAGGAGAAGGCTGCCTTCCACGCCCGCCAGGAAGCCGATTTCCGGAGGCGACGCACGCAGATCACTGGGCCTGTTCGCCAAGTCGGGTCCGACGACGAGTTTGAACAGGGCATGGACGGCGAGCCGGGCTGGACCAACGCGGACGGTGACCGCTTGCGAGACTATGGCGTCGACGAAGAGGCCGAGAACGATGAGGATGTGCCCATTGCGACACTTCTACAGCGGCGGGATGCTAAAGCAAAAATCGCTGCAGTGGCGGCTCAGAGCAAGAAGAAGCGGTGAACAGGAGAGGGAGGCTGACACTCTCACACATATGTGGAGGGTTCATTGTCGGATACAAAAGGAAAACATTAATACTTATCTGGGGTAGTTTGGGTAAACAATGAAACACTTTGGTAACTTGAGATTTCAAGTAGCACGATTGCAAACATTGGTGGACATCACGGCGGGAGGCATACACTGGGCGCCATTTCATTTTGTTATTTCCTGTTTATGATAACGATTTCAAGAGTCTTTCAGATACAAAAAGGCTTATAATTCAGTCGCAGACGAGGAACGAAGGAACGAAAAATGTTTTTGGCATGTCATCAATGGTCTCTAGAAAACGTATCTGCAAAACCAGTTGTAAAAGAGGACTTGGCAACACGGTAGTAAGAAAAAGCACAGCAAAAAGGCTAGAACAACCCAAGACGACGACGCAGTAACAAATTATATCAAACAACGGCAACTATTTGTCTAAACCGAGAAAGAAAGAAACACACACATGCAGAAAGACACACGCTCCTCATGGCATCCACAAATCTACAAGTCTACCAGTCGTCCGGCTCCCGCCGCGACGTCATGGCGCTTTGCCGCGCCAGCAGTGCGTCTGCCAGGCTCATGCTACCGGAAGCCGACGGCGTTGGCGTGTTCGTGCGGCTGCCGTCCGACGAGTAAGCACTGCCGCCGTTGAGGCTCATGCCCGAGTCACGCGGCTGAAGCGTCGACGAGGCCGCCGAGGAACGGCTGGCACCGGTGCCACCGATAGGCCGACGAGGCGGGGCCGGCGGAGCAGGACGCGAAGACGCCGGCGGGGGTGCCACGATCTCCTCGACGTACGCCGCAGGCACCCAAGCCTGCTTGTCGTTGATCTTGGCCAACCACCAGCCTAAGTTGTTAGTACGGGAATAACAAGACGAGTAAAAATTAACACAGTAAAATAAAATCATGTCGAAAGGTACTTACCATTGTTCTCCTTTTGGACAATCTCGATAATCTGTCCTGCCTTGATGGACATTTCATTGTCCTTTTGGCCAGCAAAGTCGTACAGGACCTTGGCCGTAATGGCCGCAGGTACGGCCGGCGGAGGAGGTGGTGGTGGCGGCGCGCGCACGGCCGACGTGTTGGATGCGGTGCGCGTGTGTGATGGTAGCACCGAGGTTGCTGCCGCCGATGCAGCGGCCACCGCAGCCGGGTTAGGGCGAGTAGAGACGATACGGGGCCCGGCAGCGGCAGAGGCAGCGGCAGATGACGAACCACTGGCCGCGGGTCTTGGAGGAACAGCGCGAGACGAGTTGGCGGCAGGCCGCGCGGCCGGTGTTGGCTGAGGCTTGCGGCTGTTGGAGGCCGTGATGCGCGAGGGGCGGCCGTTGGGTCCACCTGGCTTGATCAGCTTGCCGCGCGTGATAGGCCGTGGCGGCACGGGTTTAGCAGGGGGTGTGGGCCGCGGCATCGAGTTGGGTGGCTCGCCGGCACGCGTGTGGACGGCACCGCTCTTGTAAAAGTCGACAGGCACCTGCGAGTCCTTGAGCACCTTGACCAGCTGCGGTTTGCCGGGTTTCTTGTGGTACTCGATGGAGTCGCCGATCTTGAGGTTGAAGCCGCCCGGCATGACACGCTGCATCTGCACAAACATCTCCGTCTTGAACACGCAGTTCAGAAGCGGGTCCGCCTCCTGCGGCGACCCGACATTGAGCGAGAACCAGTCATCGCGCGATGTGGACGTGCCAATGAACTTGATGGCACCCAGTGGGATAGCGCGTTCAATCGAGATTTGCGGTTGGTTGTTGACAAGGGCCTGTGAGATGATGTAGAACTTGCTGTTGGTGACAACCAAGACACGCGGGCTCGGTTTGCTGGAACGCCCAAACTTGGCCTCAAGGATCTCGCCACGGCACGAAAACACAGCCTTTTCGTTGGAGCTAATGTTGGTCGCCCTGCGGATGACGCTGCCCGGGCCGGTCGAGGCGTTGACGCCAAGGTAGTCGCCCAGGAAACGACGCGAGCCCAGCAGACTGTAGCGACGGCGCTCCTTGCGGCCACCGAGCACGCGCTGGCCCTGGTCGCGCAGGACCATGTACTCGGCACCGACGCGCTTCTTGCGCCAGAAACGCTGGATACGCGTGGCCGACTCGGCGCGGTACGCGAGGTAGGCACGCCACATGCGCTGGATACGCGTGGCCATGTTGTGCCAGTAGCGGTCGCGCATGTGTTCCAGC